CATTGTAGTCTACGAGAAAACTACCCACACAGACCAGTATCTGCTTTTTGATTCCCATCACCCACTGGGATACAAACTGCAAAAACCAAGTCTAAAGACAAAGAACACGGACATCTCAGGAGTACCTTGAAACTTTGTGGCTATCCAGACTGGGTTTTTGTTAAAAAAGGTCAAGGTCAAGCAGAAATATTGTCCTATTGAATAGAGGGGAGCAGCAGAACACGGAGAAATATAGTCATCTCATATGAAGTGTTGGAAAAGGGATTTTTAGAGTGATTCTAAAGTCTAAATATTGTTTTTTTTTTTTTTTTTATCCTTCACGCATTCCTTGTACAGTGCCTTGAAAAAGTATTCATACCCTTTGAAATGTTCCACGGTTCGCCATGTTACAACCAAAAACATAAATTTATTTTATTGGGATTTTATGTGATAGACCAACACAAAGTGGCACATAATTGTGAAGTGGAAGGAAAATGATAAATGTGCATTTGTATTCAGCCCCCCAGAGTCAATACATTGTAGAACCACCTTACTCTGCAATTCCAGCTGCAAGTCTGTTTGTGTACAGGTGAAACTCGAAAAATTAGAGTATCGTGCAAAAGTTCATTTATTTCAGTAATGCAACTGAAAAGGTTAAACTAATATATGAGATAGACTCATTACATGCAAAGCAAGATAGTTCAAGCCGTAATTTGTCATAATTGTGATGATTATGGCTTACAGCTCATGAAAACCCCAAATCCACAATCTCAGAAAATTGGAATATTACATGCAATCAATAAAATAAGAATTGTACATAGAACAATATCGGACCTCTGAAAAGTATAAGCATGCATATTTATTCAGTACTTGGTTTGGGCCCCTTTTGCAGCAATTACTGCCTCAGTGCGGCGTGGCATGGAAGCTATCAGCCTGTGGCACTGCTGAGGTGTTATGGAAGACCAGGATGCTTCAATACCAGCCTTCAGCTCTTCTGCATTGTTCGGTCTCATGTCTCTCATCTTTCTCTTAGCAATGCCCCATAGGTTCTCTATGGGGTTCAGGTCAGGCGAGTTTGCTGGCCAATCAAGCACAGTAATCCCACGGTCATTGAACCAGGTTTTGGTGCTTTTGGCAGTGTGGGCAGGTGTCAAATCCTGGAAAATGAAGTCCGCATCCCCATAAAGCTCGTCTGTGGAAGGAAGCATGAAGTGCTCCAAAATCTCCTGGTAGACGGCTGCGTTGACCCTGGACTTAATGAAGACAGTGGACCAACACCAGCAGATGACATGGCTCCACAAATCAACACAGACTGTGGAAAGTTCACACTGGACTTCAAGCATCTTGCAGTGTGTGCCTCTCCATTCTTCCTCCATACTCTGGGTCCTTGGTTTCCAAATGAAAAGCAAAAGTTGCTCTCATCAGAAAAGAGGACTTTGGACCACTGAGCAACAGACCAGGTCTGTTTTTTTCTTTAGCCCAGGTAAGACGCTTCTGACATTGTTTGTTGTTCAGGAGCGGCTAGACAAGAGGAAGCCCATGTCCAGGATCCATCTGTATGTGGTGGCTCTTGATGCATTGACTCCAGCCTCAGTCCACTCCTTTTGAAAGTCGCCAACACTTTTGAATGGCCTTTTCCTGACAATCCTCTCCAGGCTGCGGTCATCCCTGCTGCTTGTGCACCTTTTTCTTCCACACTTTTCCCTTCCACATAACTTTATATTAATGTGCTTTGATACAGCACTTTGGGAAAATCCAACTTCTTTTGCAATTGCCTTTTGAGGCTTTCCCTCCTTATGGAGGGTGTCAATGATGGTTTTCTGCACAACTGTCAGGTCAGCAGTCTTTCCCATGATTGTGATTCCTACTGAACCAGACTGAGAGACCATTTAAAGGCTCAGGAACCCTTTGCAGGTGTTATGGCTTAATTAGCTGATTAGAGTGGGACACTTTGAGCCGAGAATATTGCACCTTTTCACAATATTCTAATTTTCTGAGATTGTGGATTTGGGGTTTTTTTATGAGCTGTAAGCCATAATCATCACAATTATGACAAATCACAGCTTGAACTATCTTGCTTTGCATGTAATGAGTCTATCTCATATATTAGTTTCACCTCTTTTAAGTTGCATTACTGAAATAAATGAACTTTTGCACAACATTCTAATTTTGTGAGTTTCACCTGTATGTCTCTACCAGCTTTGCACATTTAGAGAGTGAAATGTTTGCCCATTCTTTGCAAAATAGCTCAAGCTCTGTCAGATTGGATGAAGATCATCTGTGAACAGCAATTTTCAAGTCTTGCCACAGATTCTCAATTGGAGTTAGGTCTGGACTTTGACCTGGCCATTCTAACACATGAATATGCTTTGATCTAAACCATTCCATTGTAGCTCTGGCTGTATGTTTAGGGTCGTTGTTTTGCTGGAATGTGAACCTCCTCCCCAGTCTTAAGTCTTTTGTAGTCTCGAACAGGTTTTCTTCTAAGATCGCCCTGTTTATGGTTCCATCCAATTTCCCAGCAACTCTGACCGGCTTCCCTGTCCGTGCTAAAGAAAAGCATCCCCACAACAAGAAGCTGCCACCACCATGTTTCAGAGTGATGTGTAGTGTTAGTTTTACGCCACACAAAGCGTTTTGCTTTTAGGCCAAAAAGTTCCATTTTGATCACATCTGACCAGAGCACCTTCTTCCACATGTTTGCTGTCTCCCCCCCCCCCCCCCCCCCCCATGGTTTCTCTCAAACTGCAAACGGGACTTCTTATAGCTTTCTTTCAACAATGGCTTTCTTCTTGCCACTCTCCCGTAAAGGTCAGATTTGTGGAGTGCACAACTAATAGTTGTCCTGTGGACAGATTCTCCCACCTGAGCTGTGGATCTGTGCAGCTACTCCAGAGTTACCATGGGCCTCTTGGCTGCTTCTCTGATTAATGCGCTCCATGCCCAGCCTGTCCGTTTAGGTGGATGGCCATGTCTTGGTAAGTTTGCAGTTGTGCCATACTCTTTCAATTTTCTGATGATGGATTGAACAGTGCTCCGTGAGATGTTCAAAGCTTGGAATATTTTTTTTATGTCCTAACCATGCTTTAACCTTTTCCACAACTTTATCCCTGACCTGCCTGGTGTGTTCCTTGGCCTTAATGGTGCATTTTGTTCACTAATGTTCTCTAACAACCCTCTGAGGGCTTCACAGAACAGCTGTATTTATACTGAGATTAAATTACACACGGGTGGACTCTATTTTTTCTAAGTAGGTGACTTCTGATGGAAATTAGTTCCACTAGATTTTAGTTAGGGGTATCAAAGTAAAGGGGCTGAATATAAAAATGAAATCCACACTTTTCAGATATAATTTTTTTTTTTAATTCGAAAAATAATTTATCATTTTCCTTCCACATCACAATTTGTGCCATTTTGTGTTGGTCGTGTCACATAAAATCCCAACAAAATACATTTATGTTTTTGGTTGTAACATGACAAAATGGGAAAATTTCAGGTGGTATGAATAATTTTCAAGGCACTATATGAAGGTAAAAAAGCACAAAATATCTGTTTCTCCCCACCTCCCCCTCCTTAAATACTTACCTGCCTCCTCTCACCACTCCAGCACTGTCATGGCTGCAGCCTCATTTTCCGCTCTTCCTGGATTCACAGGAGACACTGAGAGCAGTGGGAGCCATAGGATCCTGCTGCTGTCAGTCAGACTCCTGTGAGAAGGGAACTGGGGCATGATGTGTTGGCGCTGCGTGTGTCTATGGATGCACATAGCCCAGCTTGGGAACATGCCCACACAGGTGCCTCCTCAGAAGCCAGCTTGTTGAGGGGTTGTTTGGAAAAAGGAGCAGATGGCACTGACAGGGGGCCTGCCAAAGAGGAGGTAAGAAATAAAAATAATAAAACAAAAAAAAACATTTAACAAATATTGCATACCTATGTCCTTCAAACCCAGTGATACACCAAGATGGAATCTTGTAGCCCTAAAGATCCAACATCCAGACACAAGCAAAGTACCGTGGTATATGATGTGAAATGCAGTGCGGAAGGCAAAAACCTGTACATTGGGCAGAAAAAAAAAATCAGTACATGAACAGCCCAAAATAGGAGGGGAAATTTTGTGGGTCAAGAATCAGTAGTCTTCCTTTGCCTTAAAGAAAAGGGACATTCTTTTGAGGACAGTGAGCTGCACATTGTGGACAGAGATGACATATAGTTTGCAAGAGGCCACCTATGTCGAACCGGAACAACCATCCCTGAACAGAGGTGAGGGCCTTTGACACCATGTGTGCATTCCACATGTAATGGAATTTAACAACTTTATCCCTGCGATTTGACAACAATTCACACTTTTTAGCCAGGTAAATTGAGGAATTAACACCTATGCTGACTTACTGACCAAGGGTGTGATTATGTTATTAGAACAGTGTGGTTCCACAACTTTCACACCTTCCAACCTGTTCTTGGATAATCAACATCTTCACCATCCATGGTGACTGGATTAGTTGTCTGTGCTACCTGTGTGCATATAAATGATGATGGGGTATTTTCCTGACACTTGAACAAAAGCAGTGGCTTGAAGAGGCTACAAAACATCTTCCAAATTATTATTATATAGGATTTAGAACATTACAGAACAAGTCCAGTTGAATGTCACTACTACTAGTCAGAGAGCAAAGTAAAAAGTCCAGTGCTCCATGAAAAGCACTGGGGAACATGTTAGCACTATATAAATGTGCAAAAATAAATAATACAGTAATAAAAAAAAACATGAGGAAGTCTTTTAATTGGTAGTTTTGGTGGTGTTTTATACCATCATGAAACTTTTTTATGGCTGGTTATATGCTTTTTATTTTAAAATTAGCACATGCTTTGTCATTGTGTTTATTTTGTGCAAGGCTTAGTAATACAAATGTTGACAAGGCTATTTTTGTTTCTAGATTTGTAATACAAAATGTACAGGCCTGTCACATCAAAGTATGCTGCAAAAGAAACTCTTTGATCCTCTTTATTTTTTTTCTCTCCAGATATATGGGCATTGGGCTGTCCACACAAGGCGTAAATCTGAATAGATTGCCAGGTATGTTCAACAGATTGCTTTGTTGTGTGATATTCCCCTTTTTATAACTTGTTGCTCCGTTGCTTTAGAACATGTCGTGTTCTGGAGCTACAGCATGAATGATGTTTTTTAAAATATTAATGTGAACTTCAGAGGACCTGGTACTAAATTACAGTTAGTTCTGCGTAAGTGGACATGATGCAGTATATGAATGAATGAAAGTTTAATCCATACCGCAAAAATGTGTAATGGTAACCTTATTCTGCTGGGAAAGGGAAGGAAATGCAGATTGAGAAACAAAAGAGAGTACAGTGTGCTAGAAATATAACATATTATGCCAACATTTGATAGAAGCACTTGCAGATTAGTTAGAACTCCTTTTCACACCCTGTCTAAGTTGAGGCATGATGTTTCTGGACCTGTTTCCCCTTTTGAGTTGTCAGTTAGCAAATTCCTTAACCACTTGCCCTCCAGAGTATTTACCCCCCCTTCCTGACCAGGCCATTTTTTTGCGATACGGCGCTGCGTTACTTTAACTGACAATTGCGTAGTCATGCAACGTTGTACATAAATGAAATTTTGGGTCCTTTTTTTTCCACAAATTGAGCTTTCTTTTGGTCGTGTTTGATCGTTTTTGCGGTTTTTTATATTTTTGAGCTATAAACAAAAGAAGACTGTAAATTTTGAAAAAAAAAATATTTTTTAATTTTTGCTATAAAGTATATCACGTAAAAAAAATGTAAAAAATCAAATTTCATCATAAATTTAGGCCAAAAATGTCGTTGCTAGAAAAAAAAAAATCCCAATACATGTAAATTAATTGGTTTACGTGGAAGTTATAGCATTTACAAATGGCGGTATATATACTGGAATTTATTTTTTTTTATACTAGTAATGGCAGCGATCAGCAACTTATAGTGGTTCTGCGGCGGCATTCTGACACTGGGGGGGAACTAACTGCCACTGACATCCCAATGGCACTAATGCAGTGATCAGTGCTAATAAAAAGCACTGACACTGTACTAATGACACTGGGCAGGAAGGTGTTAACATCTGGGGCGATCAAAGGGTTACCTGTGTGCTGTTTTACTGTGTGTGCTGTGTGTAATTTACTAGGGGAACATACTGCTGTGTATTTCTCTGCTGCACAGAGAAATACACAGCAGTATGTTGTTGCTGGCAGGAGAGAGACCTGTATTGTTTACACACAGGTCTCTCCCCTGTCACTGTTCCTTGGCGATCGCCATCGGTAGCCACCAATGGCAGCGCAGGTAGGGCGGCGTGCGCACGCCCCCTACCTGGAAATGCAAAATCATGTAAATATGTGATTTTGCACAGCCCTGCCGCCCTGTAGCAGCAGGTCTGCTATAGAGCGACTGGGAAGCATTTAATGTTTGTTTCTGCTATGAGACCTATGACACATCACAGCTAACACTGGAATGTTGTTTGGGGTCTTACCTGATGCCTTTCAAGGGTGTTAGGCATTCCATTTGTTGATAATTTTTTTCATTCAGCCAGCAGGTTGAACAAAACAAAATGATCCGGTTCCTCCATCCATACATTTGAGGTGGATGGGGGAATCCCTCCTTTTGTGGTATTGTATTCTGCCAGCAGGTAGCTGTCTGTCTGCTCAGTCGGGGAGGTCTATGTGCTCAGTCAGTGTGGCTCATACCACTTCTGACAGATTCAAGGGCGCAGGAAGCTTAGCTAATTTGTGTGTGTCTGTTTTTTTTAATTTCAATATGGACCAAAATATCTGAGGAATGTTTGCAACACCTTGTTGAGACCTCGTAGAATGTATGCCACGAAGAATTAAGAGTTCTGAAGGCAAAAGGGAGGGGGGGGTCGAACCCGACACACACCAACACATTTGTCAGACAACCTTTACTTTCCTTTCAGAATCAACACTTTCTATGGGACACTATACTACAAAATACTCCCACAAATGCAGGACATTGATTGCAAACAAGATTTGCTAATTTGCACACACAAAGTATTATTCCTAACAAATTCATTGGGGTGTATTTATTTTTGCAACATGGTTTTGAATGAAAGTCTTAGGAGCAAAGCTAAATTTTAGACAACAAAATACTAATTAACAAGAATTCAACTACAGGTGAGTCTAATTATTCATTAAACAGGTGTCCAGAAGGCAGTTGATTATAAATGGGCATTATTTAACAAAGAAAACCCCTTCCCATTTCATGCTCTCAGCAATAGCACCACATGGAAGAGAAATGTCACAGAGCCTGAGAAAGAAAATAATCTCTTTACACAAGAAAGGTGAAGGCTACAAGAAGATCAGCAAAGCTTTACCATGGAAGATAACACCTCGACAGGAGCGTACTCTGATGAGAAGAGTTGAAGAAAATCGCTATGCAAGTTTATTGCAGTTAGCTAAAGAAGTAGAAAGCCAAACTGGGGTGATTGTTTTCAGTGACACAATATGGTGTACACTGCAGAGGAATGGCATGTATGGGTGAAGACCACGAAAGAAGGAATGGCATGTATGGGTAAAGCCCATGCACGAAAAAGCCCGCCTGCAATTTGCTAGAGCCCATGCTGAAAAAGAAGAAGACTACAGGGACTCTGTACTGTGTTATGAGTGATGAGGCCAAGATAAATGTTTTTGGAACATATGGCTTCGAAACTGTATGATGTTGCAAAGGTGAGGAGTGCAAAGTAAAATGCATGGTGCCTACAGTGAAACAGGGTGGTGGCAGTGTCCTTCTGTGGGGCTGCATGAGTGCTGCTGGTGTTGGGGAGCTGCTTTTCTTTCATGGTATCACGAATTCACAGATGTACTGCTCTATATTGAAAGAGGAGATGCTACCATCACTCTGTGCCCATGGTCATCATGCACTTTTCCAACATGACAATGATCCAAAACATACATCTAAGGCCACTCTTGCATTTCTGAAGTACAGGTGAAAGTGGTTCAGTGGCCAAGTATGTCTCCTGATCTGAACCTATTCGAACACCCTGGGGAATTCTGAAGAGACAAGTTGAGCATCACTCTCCAGCATCCAGGCCCTAAAAGAGGACGTTCTTGAAGTATGGAAAAAGATAGATGTTGCAATGTGTCACTAACTTGTTCATTCCATGCCTAGAAGACTTGGTGCTATCCTTACAAATCATGGAGGTCATACAAAATACTAGATGTTGTGGTTTTTGTTGTGGGATGTATTCATTTTTGCATCAACTAATTTGAGTAAAACTGAAGAATTTGTAATCTAAGTTATGTTATTAACCTTACTTTTATGTAATGAGCTAAACAAATGTTCTATAAAACTCCAGTTTTATAAATTTGGAAATTGTTCTTCTGTGCATTGAGATACTGATTCAAATCTTACTTTTCAAAAGGGGTGTGCTCCTTTATGCTGAGCAGTGTGTATATGTGTGTGTGTATATATGTGTGTATATATATATATATATATATATATATATATATATATATATATATATATATATATATATATATATATATATATATACAGTGGGGGCAAAAATGTATTTAGTCAGCCACCAATTGTGCAAGTTCTCCCACTTAAAAAGATGAGAGAGGCCTGTAATTGGCATCATAGGTAGACCTCAACTATGAGAGACAAAATGAGAAAAAAAAAATCCAGACAATCACATTGGCTGATTTGGAAAGAATTTATTTGCAAATTATGGTGGAAAATAAGTATTTGGTCAATAATTTGGTTTGCAACAAGCTCACCGCCATCCATGACCTCTTTATCTCCCACTCCCTCAACCTCCTAGCGGTCACAGAAACTTGGATCCAAGCCACTGACTCCGCCTCCCCTGCGGCACTCTCCTATGGAGGTTTCATCTGGTCCCATTCACCCAGACCGAGCGGTCGTAGAGGTGGTGGGGTCGGCGTGCTCTTGTCACCGCTGACCACCTTCCAGGTCCTCCCAAACCCCCCCTCTCTATCCTTCTCCTCCCTTGAGGCCCACTGCATCCGACTCTTCTCTCCCACCCCTCTGAGGATTGCAGTAATCTATCGGCCTCCTGGACTCCTATCCCGCTTCCTTGATGACTTTTCGGCCTGGCTGCCCTTCTTCCTCTCCTCTGAGGCTACCCACCATCATCCTTGGAGACTTCAATATCCCTATCAATGTCAACAACCCGGCTACATTCCAACTCCTCCACTTAACCTCTTCTTTTGCACTCACGCAGTGCACACAGTCCTCCACCCACACCAGTGGGAACACCCTGGACCTTGTTTTCTCCCATCTCTGCACCCTCCACAACATCACAAACACCCCTTTCCCTCTCTCTGACCATAACCTTATTACGTTCTCCGTCTCCCCGTCCTATAACGCCTCCCCCCCAAACGTCAAACCATCACCAGCCGTAACCTCCGCAACCTGAACCCAGTCCCTCTCCACTCGGCAGCTGACCGTCTGTACGACAGTATCCTTCCACTGTCGTGCCCTGACCTGGCTACTACTGCTTATAACGACTCAGTCAGCTGCCTTAGACTCCTTAGCACCCCTAACCACACATAGCATTAGACCTCGACCGCTTCCACCCTGGCAGAACGACCACACTAAACATCTTAAACGATGCAGTCGCGCGCTGGAGCGATTATGGCGCAAAACCAGATCCCTTTGAGCATTCTCCCTCTTCAAATCCGCCTTCCTCACCTACTCCTCCTCCCTCCATGCCACCAAACAAGCCTACTTCGTAACCCTCATCAACACCCTCTCCACCTGTCCTCGCAGGCTCTTCTCCACTTTCAACTCCCTACTCTCTCCCCCACCCAGTACCTCACTCACTGCCCACGAGATTGCCAATCACTTCCAAAATAAGATCAACACAATCCGTAAGGACATCGCCAATGCTCAACCTACCTCCCCACCTAGCCTCCCTCCCACTATAACCCCATCAGCTCTCCTCTCCTCTGACCTCGCAACCGCCCTACCCCCCACCACACCTAACTTGCTACCACTGAGGAGGTTACTAAGGTCTTCTCAGAAGCCCACCTCACCACTTGCCCCCTTGACCCTGTCCCCACACAACTCCTCCGGTCACCCTCCTCCTCCATCCTACGCTCCCTCACCCACATCTTCAATCTCTCCCTCTCTCTACTGGCGCATTCCCCTCCCCCCTAAAGCACGCGCACATCACCCTCATACTCAAAAAACTCTCCCTGGACCCCACCGACCTAAACAACCTTAGACCCATCTCCCTGCTGCCATTTACTTCCAAGCTCCTTGAGCGCTTAGTCTACAATCGCCTAAGCGTCCACCTCATTGACAACAACCTCCTCGATCCACTCCACTCCACCGAAACCGCCCTACTCAAAATCTATAAATGACCTGCTAACCTCCAAAGCTAATGGCCACTACTCAGTCCTCTTACTCCTCGACCTTTCCGCGGCCTTCGACACAGTTGACCACCCTCTCCTCCTTAATAAACTACACTCCCTTGGCATCAGAGACTCCGCTCTCTCCTGGCTCTCCTCCTATCTATCCCAACGCTCCTTCAGCGTTACCTATAACGCTACCACCTCCCCCTCTCTGTTGGGGTCCCCCAAGGCTCTGTCCTTGGGCCCCTTCTCTTCTCCATCTACACCTCCTCCCTTGGCAAACTGATACTCACACTGCTTCAACTATCACCTCTATGTCGATGACACACAAATTTACCTCTCCACCCCTCAACTCACCCCTTCTGTCTCCGCCCGTATCACCCACCAACTGAACGACATATTAGACTGGATGTCGCTTCATTTCCTCAAACTGAACCTTTCCAAAACTGAGCTCCTGATTTTCCCCCAGGCCCGTGCCCCCCCCCCTCCATCACGACCAACAACTCCACCATCAGTCCCACCCCACAAGCCAAAGTCCTAGGTGTCACTCTAGACCCAAACCTGTCCTTCCAACCCCATGTCCAATCATTGGCAAACTCCTGCAGGCTCCGCCTTCGCAACATCTCCAAAATATGTTCGTTCATAACCCCAGACACTACTAAACTACTTGTACACTCCCTTATTATCTCACTTCTGGACTACTGCAACTCCCTTCTCACCGGCCTACCTCATCGCAGACTATCCCTGCTTCAGTCTATCCTGAACTCAGCGACCAGACTCATCCACCTTACCAACCGCTCCGCTTCTGCCACCCCCCCTCTGTCATTCCCTCCACTGGCTCCCGATTGCCCAACGCATAAAATTCAAACTACTAACACAGACATACAAAGCCATTCATAACGCTGC